TTAGGCTATATATATTTATCATGGACATGAATTGTGCACCTTTGTTAGGCTATGAATCAAATGTTGCTCCTAAATTTATTAATTTTAGGCTATGAATCAAATGTTGCTCCTAAATTTATTAATTTTCCCTATGCACAATGGGCTTCTAGATTTAAAGTATTTGTGCAATCTAAAAATATTTATTTATGGGGAATTTTTGATAATGCTTATATTGTACCCGCTATGGAGAAATCCAAGTGGAGTAAAAATGACAAAAGATTATTTACCATGAACAAGATTGTGTTAGAATATATGCTTAATGCACTTGATTCTTCTATTTCTAACAAGCTTGCTCATTTTGATAGTGCTTACAAATTGTGGATATTCATAGAAGCACATCATGGTAACTTGGAGGAGATCCAAAGGATTCCGGCGGATTCTTCCTCAAGCAATATTGGAGCTTCATCATGCACACGACCACTAGGCGATAGCCCTAGTGAGGTTTGCGAGTTCGAATCCACAAATGATTTATCTAGTTATAAACTTGCTTGTGTTAGTGAAAAATTAATGCATGCCTATAATAAATTGTATAAAGATTTTATTGATTTATAAAGCAAGCATGAGGATTTGAAATCCGATCATGAGTTGTTAGCATCTAAGTTTGAAACTATTTCTAATAAAAATGTGATTCTTAAAGAAAACAATGAAAAATTAAAATTGGATTATGTCTCTTTAACTTCAAATGTTGCTAGTTTAACTCATGAAAAAGATAATGCTATGTTAGAAGTAGAGAACATAAAAAATAATATTGTTTCTTTTATAAATGATTATTTATGTTCTACTTCTAAAGTTAATGTTAATATGCCTAATGATGAGTTGAACAATGTTAAATACCGCATTTCCTCTTTAGATTCAACTCTAACTACATGCATTAACAATCATAAGAAGCTTATGGATATGTGTACTAAGTCAAAGCTAAAATCATCTACTCATTATGCACACATATATAGCAAAGTTTACAAGTGCTCCATTTGTGGTCATAAAGGCCATTTATCTAAATTTTGCTATGATGCACATAAACCTACAAAGATTAATATTAATGCTCCTTGTGCATCTCATAAGGCTTCTTCATCACACACACATTTACGTGCACCTAAAGTTCATCATAAGCATGCTAATGTGTATTCATGTGATTATTGTGGTCGTTTTGGTCATTTGGCCAAATATTATTTTGATTTGAAAAATAAATCTCATTTGCCAAATATTTCTAGTAGACCATATATTTTTAAATATGATGTTTGTGGTAGGTTTGGATATCTTGCTAAATTTTGTAATGATATGCAAAAATATTCTAAATTGCAATATGTTCCAAATAGACCATTGTTTAAGAATGTTTCTCATTTGCGATATAATTTAAAAGAAAAATGTTTATTTGCAAATGATTCCCATGCACGCCCACTTGGTCAACACAAATCATTTAAACCTCTTCATTGCACCTATTGCAAATCGGAAAGGTCATGTGTATAATTTTTGTTTTGACCGTGCTAGTGCACCATATGTGCCCAAACGGGTTCATAACCCTAGGACTTTGAGCTTAAATGATAGGGGTCATGTCCCTAACCAATCCGGCACCAAGAATACTTGGGTGCCAAAATAATTTTTCTTAAACCAAGAATTTTAGTGTTTTTATTTTTCTTTTCTTGGTTTTGAAAATTATGCTTTGAAATTTTTCTATATTTGGGTGCCATAATTTTTCTTAAACCAAGAATTTTAGTGTTTTTATTTTTCTTTTTTCTTTTCTTGGTTTTGAAAATTATGTTTTAAGATCTTTTGGTTATGAAAACAATTTTTCTTTTATCAAATCTTTTATTTTCATGATTATTAGTTTTGATTTTTATGTGAGGTTTGTATTTATATAACCCTCCAGGTTTATTGGGTGTTTATTCCCAAATCATGTTTACCGGATGCTTAAATGTTTATATGGGTTGTTACTAGCTCAAGAGCTAGATATAGTTGCCTCTCTTGATTTTTAAAAATCAATGATGATTTGGCTTGATACTTTTAAAGATGATTTTTTCCATAGTTCATGATTCTAATCTGTTTTGTAATCTTATTTTTGAACTATAAAAATTTTGTTTTGATTTGTTCTTTTGAATTCATTATATAGTACAAATAGATTATTCAAATTTCATATATACTTTATAATGTATTCTATGAGTGCTTTAATCAAGTTCTACAAAGAAAGTTCTATTTATTGATCAAACATTATTTTTGAATATAAACTTTGATTTATGATTTCTTTTGGTTGATTCGTTTTCATTTGAAAACTTTTTGCATGATTCTCATGTTCCTCTTCTTTTGTTGTCATAAATATATTCTTTCATATGGCTTTTATATTTTTTGTGTTAATGAGACACTATTTTCATTTTGACATATTTATATATGTTCTCATTATCTTTTTGTATGTGAGTTGTATTTAGCATGTTTCTTGCTTGCTCACATATGTATGCCTTAGCATTCATTGCATATATTCATTAAGTCATTTTGATAGGGGGAGTCTTCCCTTTTCTATTATTGTTTTTATACTCACCCATGCATATTGATAGGGGGAGCTTTCGCTCTCTTCATTCTTTTGTTTCCCCCTTTTTGATGTTGTCAAAGGGGGAGAAATATTGTGAGTATATTCTTTCTTGTTTATATGCATGATATATTATACTTTGTATATTCATTTCCTTTCATGCATATATCCTTTTTGTAAATTATTTGTCATCATCAAAAAGGGGGAGATTGTTAGCCTTCTTGTTTTGATGATGTTTAACAAATAATTTACTTCTAATGTTATTTTTCTAGTGTTTGTGTTTTCGTATTTATTCTAGGCAAACAACGAGTTAGAGGTCGGATGGAATTACGCCATAACGATCATATCAAATGGAGGTTGGCGGAATAGTGGAGTGAAGCCTTGCTATTAAGTTAAAGATCCAATTTCAAGCTTCATCCGCAAGTTTACCAAATTGAGCTACAATGAAGATCAAGATCAAGCTTGGGTAATTTAATTTAGGTGTTATATTATGTGTGTTAAGTACGTTAAGCTCAATATCATATACACACACATTTTATTGGTTTCTTTGTATATATATGTAGTCATATATATATATACAACACAAGTTTTGGCTTTCATGTTTATAAATATAAAATTACATATTTCATATTCATTTTTGTGATTTGGTTTAACTACTTAGATATGAAACAAATATATTTTCATATACATACTCATATGTTTCATTTTCTAGTGTATTTGTGAAAATATTATTTTCTTGGTTTATAGACTTAACAATAATCATATACATCTTTTATTAAGTCTATAAAATTATTTTGTAATGTTTCAAAACATGGTTAAGCTAAAATGTCAAAACTCATGTGCTCTCATTTTTATGTTTTGGACTATTTTGTAAAATGATGATATTTTTTTTTGGAAAGTCCTTTTTTAAAAACCAGTTTTTATAGCATGTGTATTATCATGTCTACAATCATTTCCCAAAGTTTTATATTTTTTGGAATTTATTTGATATTTTTAAACAGGGTTTTAAAATCAAAAAATCAACTTTCAAACTGTTCTAAGATGTTTTCCCTTGCCAAATAAGGTGCCAAACAGCTTAAAGAGAAATGGACTCGATATAAACGGCCGAGATTATTCACCAAAAGGACGCCTCTGTTTGTTTCACCAAATGGTGAATACATTGCAATAGCCTGCAGTAATCTAATCACTATTTTGCAGAAGGGCGATAACTATATGCATCCGACTGGCATCTTTACAAGTGAGTCTCTGAATAAATCACATCCACTTGAATTTTTATGACTAATGAAAATCCTCATGTAAGTAATCTTGAATTTATTATTATTTTTGCTCAAGTAGCTGTGATTTATGATTCATGATTTAACTTGATGTTGATTTTGTTTTTGTGAATAATTTCAGAATGATGGTTGTAGATTTCGGGAGTGGTTTGACAACCCCGTGTATAGTGTGGAAACTCAATTATTTCCACTTATGAGAGAAGAACAAGAATTTAAGTTGAAGAAACGAGAACATGAAGCTTGTTATTGCTTGGATGAGGTTGTGAAAATGAGGAGAAGAAATGAATTTGATGGGTGAGCTTACAGAAGAAAAGATGAAGTAGATGTTAAATTTTATAATGAGACTGATTGTACTCTTTATTCTTGGGTAGTTTCTCAAGAATTGCTTGTAACGTGTCATGTTTCATTGTTCAGTTGGTTATACTATGTGTACTTTTTATACTTATGTAGTTTCTTCATAATTGCTTGTAACGTATCATGTTTCATTATTCAGTTGATTATACTATGTGCTCTTGTGGTTTGGTTGTGCTTAGATCAAAAATTAATGAAATATATTTTGTCTATTTAGTATCAATTTTGGTTATTGTGATTGTCTGTGAAATGTATTTTGGCTGTCATGTGAATATGTACAAGTTCATTCAAATAGAAATTGATGTGCATAACAAACTGAAGATTATATATAAATTATGTGTATCAAAACATAAATATTATGGTACATAATATGTACATAATCCTATGGTTATTGTGTACATAATATATACAAATTATGTACATAATATTCAAGTTAGGATACACTATTAAATCTCATAACATATCAACTCTCCTCATAACATGTTAACTTTTCAGTTGAACATGTTAACTTTCTTCGTAACATGTTACCTTTCACCATAATATGTTAACTTTCTTCATAACATGTTAACATTCACTATTACATGTTAACTTTCACCATAATAAATAAACTTTCTTTGTAACATGTTAACTCTCAGCTGAACATATTAACTTTCATCATATTATGATGAAAGTTAACATATTCAACTGATAGTTAGCGTGGAGAGCTGAAATATAGCATGTTCATAATAAAGTTAACATATGCAGATGAAAGTTAACACATACAGTTGACAGTTAACATGTTCACTTTAAAGTCTATAGAATTTGAAAGTCAACGTGTATAGTTGAAATAAAACATGTTCATCTGAGTAAGCACATCGTGAAAAAGATAAAGGGCTTTAAGCCATATTTTTAGTACAGACAATAACTTTTAAATTTAGTCTCTCTAATCATTACACATCACTCCTGCTTTGGTATCAATTTATGAAGAGGAAAAGCAAGGAAAAAAACCATTTAAGTTCTTCAAAATATGGATTAATCATAGCAATTTCCTTCTCTTGTCTCTCCATTTGAGATTTGTTTCAGACCTTCAAGAAAAGTCCTCAAAGATGTTATAGATGAATAAATTAACATGTATATCTGACAAGTTAACATATACATCTGACAAGTTAACATAGTATGATAAACGTTAACATGTTCAGTTAAAAATTAACATGTTCTGAAGAAAGTTGACATATTATGGTGAAAGTTAACATATAATAGTGAATATTAACATATCATAATAAAAGTTAACATATAATAGTGAATGTTAACATATTATGATGAAAGTTAACATAAAGCAGCAAAAGTTAACATTCAGTATGAAAAGTTAACATACTAGAAGGAAAGTTAACACGTTCAGTTAAAAGTCAACATATAACTATTATTTGGTACACAATCTGTATATATTATGTACATAATATGTATATATTATGTACACAATAACCTCAAGGTTATGTACATATTATGTACCATAATATTCATGTTTTGATACACATAATTTATGTATAATCTTCAGTTATTATGCATATCAAGTTCTATTTAAATGAACTTGTACATATTCACATGACAGTCACAATACATTTTACATACAATCAACATAAGTTATACCAAAATTGATCACCAAATAGACAATACATTTCATTAAAATTTGATCTAAGTACAACCAAACTATAAGAACACATAGTATAATCAACTGAACAATGAAACATGACACGTTACAAGTAATTCTGGAGAAACTACACAAGAATAAAGAGTACAAACAGTTCTATTATAAAAATTAACATCTTCTTCTTTCTGAATCAGACTACGCCAATTTCTCAAGTAAGACTGATGCTGATGCGTCAGCCAATTCCTTAACCGACAAAGCCTCCTCATTATTCACCATAACAAGAGAGCACCAAACCCACACAAATCTTATCAATTCCAATTTCAGCATCGCCCATTCCCCCAATCACCCTCCCCATCTCCTTAAACGATACTAATCGTCCATATCATTGAATCACCACTCTATACTCAAATCCCGATGGCTTAAACCACAAGTGACCCATTTCATCAAGCACCTTCTTTGCATCCTCAACCATACCCACCAAGCTCAATCCTCTGATCATACACTCAAACACACTTTTCCCAACAAAACTCGTATTTTAATCCAACCACAATATTCCAAAATAAATTCTTTCAATCCTCTACCTGACGCAACAACAACAAGGTCACAAGTAGAGGGCTGCCCTGAGTAGGAGACGATGGTGGAGCGTTTGCCGGTGATTGAGAGGTGGGTGGCGAAGGAGCGGGTGACATAGGAGAGGGGCTGATCAAAATAGAGGACAGTGGTGGAGGACCACCACTAGGAGAGGGAGGGGGAGGGGTGAGATTGAGAGGAGGAGGGAGAGGGGGAGGAGATTGAAAGGAGGGGGAGGGGTGAGATTGAGAGGAGGGGAGGAAATTGAGAGGAGATTGAGAGGAGGAGGGGGAGGGGGAGAAAATTGAGAGGAGATTGAGAGGAGGGGAGGAAATTGAGAGGAGATTGAGAGGAGGAGGGGGAGGGGGAGGAGATTGAGAGGAGGAGGAGAGGAGATTGAGAGGAGGAGGGGGAGGAGATTGAGATTGAGAGGAGGAGGGGGAGGAGAAAACCACAGAGAAGAAGAAGAAGAAGATAAGGAAGGGGTATTTTCAGAATGTTTTGGGATGTATTCATTGGAGAGTGTTAAAAGGGGGCTGAACATGTTTTTTAGGATTTTAAGGGTTAAAGAGTAAAGGAAAAAGTTGGTGGGGCTGAGCCACATCTACATCTGTATCTTTTTTTAGGGCCTTGAAATATTTTTTTCCTTTTTTTTCCATTTCCCCGCTATTTTTTCATTTCCCTCCTCTTTTTGTTCCGCTTTGGCCCTCTCCATCCAAAAACCCCTAAATCTCTCTCTCGTCTCGACGCCCATCCCCCTCACCAAAACCTTCGGATCTCGCTCAACCCAGACGGATCCCTCTCCCGCCGCGCCGAGATCCCCCTCATCCCCCCTCCACCTCCACCGTCGGCGCCGCCCTCTCCAGTTGAGCTTTATGGATTCCAAAACCCTAATTTGAAGAGATAGTCCTTACCTCTAACGAAAATTTGTTTTTCTTTTCTTTTTTCGTTAGATTTAAGCCGGTGGAAGATCTGAAGACGACGCTTAAGGGATCGCCGACGAGCATCAAGGACGAGAGGTGTAAGGTTTGGGGTTCTTTTTGATCTGGTTTCAGAAATTAGGAAAAAAAAGAGGACGGGACCGCGAGGACGGTGTCCGTATGCCCCAACAGCATAGTCTCCTCCTTCAACGTCGAGTTCTCCGCCGTCGCCGTCGCCGCTGCCGAAGCCGCCGCGTTCGCCGACGATGGGGAAGCGGAAAGGGCATCTTCGAGGGCCAGCGATGAGGACGAGAATGGGAACTCGAGGAAGAAGCTGAGGTTGTCAAAGGAGCAGTCTGCGTTCTTGGAGAGCTTTAAAGAGCATAATACTCTCAACCCGGTAAGCTTACCGCCGTTTAGAAAAGAAACTTTTGTTTTTATCATTTTTTATTTGTAGAATTTGAGTCGTTAATAGGATTGGGTATTTTGTGTTGCAGAAGCAGAAGGTTGCTCTTGCTAAGCAGCTTAATCTGAGGCCAAGGCAAGTGGAAGTTTGGCTTCAAAATAGAAGAGCAAGGTATAAATTACTTTTTATTTAGTTTTTTTTTTCTCTTTTGAGTGCATTTTAATATTTTATGATGATTATTAGTGTTAAGTCACAGAAGTTTCTTTGCTTGCCTGTCTTTTTTCCTCTCACCACGCAAGCTAGTCTGTTTGATTTTTTCCTATTAATATTTGTTTTTTAAGTATTTAAATAATGATGTTTTGAAAGTGTAAAGAAATCTAGATAGATTTGGTTCCAATAGGTTAATCACAGCGGTATGCATTATAACCTATTTTATTGTTCTATCTCAGTAAAAGCATAAGCTTTTGACTCCTTTAGATAGATGGCTTCTTTTCTTTCTTGCAGCTACTTCTTATGAAGAGAGGAGGACGGGTCATATATGGAGGCGCGCTTGGTACAAACTCACAAATTATGATGAACTACTTTCAGGTTGTGTTCCTTTATGCATTTTATGTACCACTGATCTGACTATGACTTTTAGGTTAGTAGAAAGAGTATCCATGCAATGCTGCCCATGCTATTTTTTCCTTCATCAAATAATAGAGCTCAATACAAAATGTTAGGATGCAAACATTTCTATAAACTGAATGCTGTTGACTTCTCATTGTGTTTCATTTTGTAAACCAACTGCACAGAACTTAGGACCGTTTGACTTTAGAGCTCATTCAAATCAGTCCATATGTCCTTGAATCATCTGTTTGTTGTGTGTGCTTTTTTTTGGGGAGGGTGTATAAATAGAAATAATCCATTTTTTATTTTATGCCGTCTAGCTCATGGCTATTGAAAATACATTCATTTTACAACCTTTTGATGTACATGTAACAACCCATAACAATACATAACTTTTCTAATATTGCGGACTGAGTTATTTATTCAATTTCAGGCTATGAGAAAATCCTTCTGTCACTTAGTTTTATTTGATGAGAAAATTAATATGCAATTATATTTCTAATCCAGGGGATGCATGGGATCCCTCCCATTACTGATGGATATAATCCAGCAACTTGGATGCTGGAAATCAACACACCAGCTTGTGAAAAGAGGCTTGATACGGACTTTGCTACCGTGTACAAAAACTCAGATCAATTCAGGTGATTCTAATATTTGGTTTGATTACTTGAGATCAATTCGTAATAATTCTCATTCATGAACTTAAAGAAAGCTTGTAGCTGTAATTCACAGATTGTTACTCTTTGTCAGGGAAGTTGAAGCTCTTATTCATCAACTAAGTAGACCTGTTAATGGTACACAGCCACTGAGATTCTCTTCTAAGTTTTCACAAGATACTCTATCTCAATTTAGAATATGTTATTGGAAGCAAAATCTTGTATACCGGAGAAGTCCAAAGTACAATGTTGTCCGATTGTTCTTTACTACTATCTCTGCTTTAATACTTGGCTCAGTGTTCTGGAATGTTGGTTCGAGAAGGTAATTTGTAATTTTTTTTTCTCATGCATCTAATTGTTCTTTACTTCTAAATGGGTAAGTAACGTGTCAATGATACATGTTTGTATAATATTTTAAGAATATAGGTGAAACTGATATTACTGTTCTAAAGAGGATTATATTAATTAGGTTGTAATTGAGAAGTTGCATATGATTGAACTGGATATATTTTTTACTTATAGGATCAAATGATAAATATGCGAGCAGATACCACTCAACCTGATGTAACTCGAACAATGAAAGATGAGTAAATTTGTGCAAAAGTTCTTAAAGTCAAATCAGGCTAGATTATAAGGGTTGTGGTTTTGGCCCTAAACCACCACCATTAATGTTCTCTCGTTCTTCGATGAGTGAAATGTCTGAAAAGACTAAAGAGTTGCAAGAACAGCTTCAAAAGACCCAACAACTTGTAGGAACTCAACAACAAACGATTGATGCGCAAAATGAGGTAATCCAAAGATTGGAGGAGCAAGCCAAAATGTTTGAGGAGTTTATGACTAATTTCTCCAGGCAACATCCATCAGCTTAGTATTCTTAGTGAACTTAAACTTGAAGAAATGTTTCTTTGATCGTGTTGCATTTGTTATTGCTTTAGACTAGCATTGTTACTTATGGTAGAAACTTGTTTGCTTTATTTATTTTAATTGTTTTGATGTACTGTGGTGACAATTGATGACAATTATTTATATTTTGAGCGTTTTTCTCGTAATAGCATTATTATTGATGAAATAAAATTTTCTAATTATAAGTAATTTTCATCGCTATAGACCATATAACTTATATCGACAAATGTAAATTTCCTCGTAATTGAATTTCTTTGGAGAGGAATATGGGGTACAACTTACAATGACAAATTTAAATTTCCTCGTCTTTGAGTCCCTTTACTAAGGAATTGTTTCCACGAGAAAAAGATATATATAATGAAGAAAATCAATTTCCTAGTTAAATATTTACCTTTGGTGAGGAACAGTTTCATCACTGAAAGATACCTACAACGACGAAAATAGTTTTTTTAGAATTTTTATTATATATAAATTAAATATTATTCATATATCATTGGTGAGGAAACTGTAGTTTAGCGATAAAAAATTATATGAGATTAGGTGAGGAAAAATATCGAGGCTAAAGAGTAACAACGAGAAAAGAATATATTCATCGCAAAAAGGATTTCGGAAGAAATTATAATATTCCTCGCATAAACTTTTCTTGACCACCCTACCACGAGGAAATGGTGACCAAAGTTTTTTACTCGCCAACACACTACGGCGAGGGAATCTCGACTTTCAACAACAAACTTGTTCCTCGCGGATTAGCTTTTCTGTTGTATGAAATTTCATAATTACTTTTCCATATTTTTCTTATTGTTCCTACTTCCTCACAAGAACTTGTTAGTGCATTCTTTTAGTCCTGGAAGGTACGGTATAAGGTTTTGCTGTTGACAAGCTTTGTTGGTCACTTGGTAGTTAGCTAGAACTACATTTTGACAAATTTAAGGTCTTGCAACAAACGAGCAACCCTACAGAAGGCTTTATAAATTCTCTTTTAAAAATAGAATCATAGGTCATTCTAAAGATATTAATAATTGATTTTATATATGCATCTGGAATTTTCATTTAGATAAATAACCATTATCCTCTTTACAGCAGCAATAAGGTTCACAAAGTAACATTAAATTTCTATAGTTAATAATTTAGTGGAGTCTTATTGATTCTTCTTAGCCTTTAAACTTTTTTCTCTTTTAGAATCCAAATTACATTTATAATGTTTCATGATATATGAATTGCAGGAAACATTTCATCCTATTGAGGTTACTCGTGGTTTGTAGATCATTCCCAAATGGAGAACTCATGTGGTATGGCTTAGTTGATCTATCTTTTTTCTATTTTTAAAGAGAATGAGATCCATGGAAGGATATGGTTATGTATTACATTTATTAAGAATATAATATATAATTAAAGTCCTCACGCTATACGCATGAAGTAAAATTTATTCAGAATTTATCGACGTAAACATTCAGAAAGAGTCAGGTAGGCAATGTCTATATAGGATGCTCTTTAAGTCTGCAAGTTTCTTATTTCTTCTTTGAGAAAGTAGGAATGTAACTGCATGGCATATCAATATCCTGCTGTCTTTAATTTATGCAGGATTTACAAGCAGTAAATATAATACTTGATCCAGGATTGGCTTTTGGAACGGGATATCCTACGACTAAGTTATGTCTGTTGCTGTTACATAGCTTGATTCGAGGAGGAGAAAGTTTATTTGATTATGGTACATGATCTGGAGTTCTGGGAATTGCAGCAGTGAAGGTTTTATATTATATATCTTATAGATCCTGGTAACACATGTTTTCAGATCTCACTACTAAACGATTTCCATTATAACATGTACATTTACACAATTTCAGGGAATGCATTGAAAGGTTTCAATGTCACTGTCCTCTAAGCTAAATCAAAATTAACTCAAAGATCATATGGTTTAAAGTGTTTACTACTGCTGCCTGCTACAGTAAACAAGATATTAATTTGTAGAGGTTTACATGTTCCGTTTTTCTATTTCTAAGTCTCTATTGTTTGTGGAAGGATGAAAGTTGCAAGGTGATGGATGGTGAATGGTAGAATATTTTGGATTGAATCAGTTGGAAGGAGACAAACTCTCCAAATCCATCTCAATCGTCGCCGGAGCCACCTCGGCAATCTCCGCGCCGTTGGCCGCAGACAGCTCCACCTCCCCTCTTCCCGCCTTCCTCTCAATGAATTTCCTCTCCAAATCCATCTCAATCGTCGCCGGAGCCACCTCAGCAATCTCCGCGCAATTGGCCGTAGCCAGCTCCACTTCCCCTCTTCCCGCCTTCCTCTCAATCTCATTACTCTCCAAATCCATCTCAATCATCGCCGGAGCCACCTCGACAATCTCTGAGCCGTTGGCCGCAGACAGCTCCACCTCCCCTCTTCCTGCCTTTCTCTCAATCTCATTCCTCTCCAAACCCATCTCAATCATCGCCGGAGCCACCTCGGCAATCTCCGCGCCATTGGCCGCAGCCAGCTCCACCTCCCCTCTTCCCGCCTTCCTCCCAATCTCATTCCTCTCCAAATCCATCTCAATCACCTTATCTCATCCAATTTCGAGAATCTAGGACTAGGGTTTCGGGAATTTAGGGTTCAAATCCGGGGGAGGAAATTCGTCGAGACGAAGGTGTTGAAGAGTGACTTCGAGAGAGGCGACTCATGCACGGGTTTTATAACTTCGCTGGTGTATGCTGCTCCTGCAGAGCACTTTAAATTTTACTACAATTAAACGTTGTGTTGCCACGTAGACGGTACGGTATAAAATGTAGGCGACGAATGTCGGCGAAACAGAGGCGCGTGTAAAATGGCTACCGTTACCTCTCATGACGTCGATTGGTATCCAACCGAACGCGGCTGCAGACAGTGGCGTAGCCAGGAATTTTTCTTGCCCTGGGCGAAAAAAAAACAAAGCAAAAAAAAAGGTTGAAACTCTAGATTTGGAAAGCTTAAAAAACAAAAGCATGCATTCATATGACAATTATATTGTTTTCTATAGCACATGTCCACAAACTGAGTACAAAGCGATGACGGACCTGCCCAAGGAGTAACTCAGCAAGGACAGCCTGCTGACCATATGTCAATAGAAGTAGCGTACTCTGTCACCCCAAATATAAGTTCCGGAGCACGATAATAGCGTGAACAAATGCAAGATATGTTTGCTTCACCCTTAACCTGATGATACAGTTACATTCTTTAGTAAGGAAAGAACTAAAGGTGAACGCTCGAAAACAAGCCACATTTAACTTAAAATAACTGCATCCAAGCAATAATCTAGAAAAAGAAAATAGACCAAACTGATGCCAAGAAAGAACATGAATACTTCCAAGAAATACAACGAAACATCGCAAGAACATTCATGTGGTAAGCCTAGTAGTGAATCCTAATTCAGCAATCAATCAACATTGAGGTCTACAATATCATTCAACAAATCTTTCGCAAATTTTTAATTACCATTCATCAATTATCATCCAAATTGCACGCATTAGAGGTACAATAGCAAAATCACACAACCTTGTCAACTATCTAGTACTAGAGCTACAAATAAAGGTCAAAGCTCATGAGTCATTACATACCAGAATTTTGGCGCTTCCAAAACCACAAAGCTTAACTTGGTGAGTGAGAGGATCAACCTAATGCCAATTAACAGGGGAAGGTTGAAAACAAAAGAATACACTGCTTGATAGATGATAACAAAAATTGAAGCTCCAAAATCATACCAGAACATTCTGTGGCTTCACATCTCTATGGCAAACACCTGGAACACTATGAATATAAGCTAGCCCCCTGAAAATCTGCAAAATTACCCAATAGAGTAAGCCTTTCCAACATAATATACAAGCAATGCAACAAAATAAAAGCGAAAAAAAGGTACCTGATAGGTATAGAACTTCACAAATATCAATGGCATCCTCTGGTTCATACTACTATAATGCTTAAGAACTCGGTATAAAGATTCAGGCACAAACTCCATGACCAGGTTGAGAGACTTTCAAGGGCAATACAACAGCCAAAACTAGCCAAAACCGAAGGGAACTTTCAAGGGCAATACAAAAGGGAGAGACTTCGAAAGCAAGCATCAAAGAGCTTTTAAGCTCAGGCTCAGAGGAATAACACAAAACCAATCAAACAAGGAAGCTATGGCTGAAGATACCAAACCGAAACAAGAACGGATTTTTTTCCTAAAACAGGTCACTTTATACAAGACCAAAGCGAAAATACCGAAATTCCCCTCAATAACTAAACCCTAAAAAGGCGAATTTGCCATGGATCTGCAGATCTACAGGTAAAATTGTGTATCCAGCTGCAGAAACCCTAGAAATTAGGTGGAGAACAGAATCGAGGGAACCATAGAGAAGGTGAAGGGCAACATGGTAATCTTACCTTTTCTTCAGCCATTTTCGGCCGGCGGCGGCGAGTCTCTAGGGGATCGCGATGGTCAGCATCAGGTTGCTCTTGCTCGGCGAAGAGAGGGCTCTGAGGGTATTGAAAAAAATTTCATTTTCTTGCCCCAGGGCAAGCTCTTAATAGCTACGCCCCTGGCTGCAGAGCGTAAGAATGGAGAGTGAGAATACTGGGCGGTGACTATACCGCAACACACGCCCAAGCTGACGCTCAAATAAAGAGATTTGGAAATACGTGGGGGCCCACTCATGCATGGAGAGAGGAGTTTGGACAGTAGGGCGACTCATGCACGTAGTTTATAACCTCTTCGCGTTGGTGTATGCTGCTCCTGCAGAGCACTTTGGGCTTTGATTAGAATAGGGAAACATATGTAATTTGTCCTATGATTTTTATGCTTATTTGTCTTTTATTGATGACTTGCGAGGGAGGGAGAGAACTAAAATTGGTATCGACTCTGTACAAGTGATGACTTTCGTATGATTTTGAACCAAACATCAATATCAATTGGATAACAATGATAAGAAATTGAATGTTGAACAACCTTAGGTGCCCTTTCATTTAATTCTTCAACATCTTTTTCTCTTCCCTTCATCTTTCAGTTTTTAATTTACTATTTTTTTATTTTTGTTTGTTTTATTTATAAACTACACTATTTATAGATGGGAAAGGAAGATATGCTTGGGTATAAACAGTGCCATCAATCAATGCATCCTTTACTACCTATTCTCTTTTAAATTTTGGCATATTATTCTATGAAATGTTACATCTTGCGTTGTGATCTTTCAGATATCCTAAGTTCTCACATCAATTATATATGGACCATACTAAGCTCCGCCACTGTATATGGTTATGGGTGGGTATTGTGCATGTCAATTATTATGAAAACAAATAACATGCATGTAATTTTAGAACTAATATCTGTTGATTTCTTCTTTCTACTGTCGTGATTTCTTCTTTCTATTGTCGTAACACAAGATCCGGTAGGACGAATTCTACATGAGGATTCATATTTGACAGGCAGGGGCGGCCCTGGGGTAAGCCCACCAAGCCCCGGGGCTGGGGCAACCCAGGGCCGGGGGCAACCAATCCTCGGATACACATGAAGATATAGGGAGAGGAGTCGAAGGAGATGACGGTGATGATGACGACAGGCTTAGTGGAGATGATTCGGATAATGCTCCTTCAGTTGGGAGTGATCTATACAAAGATGAGGAGGACAAGGAAGAGCTGGAGAAGATGTCTGAGCTAGATAGAGAGATGATTTTAGCGGAGAGGAGTACTAAGATTGATGACTATATGTTGATCCGAAGGACTAAATTATTAACCCGTTAAATAAGTTTTATTTTAGCCCTTATGATCAGTTTTAGTGTTTGGGAATAACAATGATTTTGACTATTTTCTTTATAATTAGAAGGGTTAACTCTTATTCCATCTAAATAGGAGTATTAGTAAACCCCTCATTTTGAGGGGTTAATTCATTTTAACCCCTCTAGAGGGGTTAACTTAATCCTTCTATATTTTTTATGTTTGGCAAATTATGGAGGGTTAACTCACTTTAACCCTTATATATATTTGTTGTGTTTGGCAGGTTAAGAAGGGGTTAAGTCTCCGTAACCCCTCACTTAACCCTTTGCCAAACGATACCTTCCCTTCTTTCGTGGTGGTATATTGCAGTAGTTACTTTGCATGTGAAGTTATTTGTAATCTTTTGAATTGTTTTTTTAATTCATTTCTGTGTATTTAAGTATATATCAGTTATAAGTTTCAAACAATATCATATATCATCTGTCAATTAAATTAATGAAAACAAGCAATAGTCCCAGCTTGCACCGCCGCCGTCTTGAACCCTGTCCTTCTGCACTTGACCTCCCTAACTCCGGCCACCGCCGGAGTACTTACCATCATACAGCGGCAAAATATTAATGGACTTGTTAATATATATTTTGCAAATCTTGGATCATCGTCTGTACCCGGATCCGCCAACCATGTTAGTTAGTGCGTCTGATGTTCTCATGACATGGGAATACAAGAGGAGGCCCGATCTATTATCGGACTTGTTGAATGGATTCTGCAAGTCTTGGATCATCCGCATGTAAGTTTGTTACCTGGAATCTTGGAGTGGTGTTAACCACTCATGAAGTGGTCCAACGTTCATTAATTTTTGTTGTAACTACACATTTAAATGGGTGATTAATCTGATCCTATTTTTGTGGTAACTACCCCTAAGTTTTGACGTGCTTGATGGGAGCACATCTATAAATATAATTAAAACGGTTTTGGGTCCCTAAGCTCAATTTACTCTCTCTTGATATTTTCTATACACCATCATAAGAATGACTGATGAGAGCGTAGAAGAACACCAAAAACATAGAGCGTTAAAGGCGTCCCTAAGCAAAAGCGTCAATGGCCGGGATATACTGATCTCTTCCGCATTCAGTTTATTCATTTTGATAGCATATATTATTTGTAAATATGCTTAACATTTGGTATTAGAGCAATGATTTTTTCTCTGCATTGACATTGTTTGACTACTTGGTATTTGTTTTCCCGTATATTCCATGGATGCAAAATTTTGTCAAATTATTTTATATAATTATTGACATCATGTGGGGATACAAATAATCGGGAAATAATTTTCTATAGCAATTTTGTGTTTTTTAAGAATACCCTTTGTTAGGTCTCATATTTATGAGCCTACTATCTGTTGGATTTTTTATTCAAAAATGCTTTCCAAAATGAGTTTTCAAACTATATATATATTAACTACAAGTACTTTTCATAAATGCTTAGTAGCCTAGTGGAAAGTTTATGTTTTAGTATTTCAAAAGCTCCATTGTTCAAGGCTTTCCAACTGCAAGTCGAGAAGTGTTTTATTTGAATTAATCTCTCATAAGTTCTAGTGGGTCGTGGGTCGTGGGCCGTGGGCCGGGGATCGGGGCTAATCGGGCTGAGGCGCTAAGTGGCGCTTTGTTAGGCGCACTTTGCACTTCACACACTTTGCACGTAGTTTGACAATGTTCACTCGTTCGACAAGGTTCATCTGTCATACGAGGTTCGCCTGTTTGACGATGTTCGTTCGTTCGACGAGGTTCGTCTATCATACGAGGTTCGTTTGTCATACGAGATTCGCCTGTTTGACGAGGTTCGTCTGTTTGACGAGGTTCGCTCGATCGACGAGGTTCGTATGTCATACGAGGTTCGCCTGTTTGACTATGATCGTTCGTTCGACGAGGTTCATCTGTCATACGAGGTTCGCCTGTTTGATGATGTTCGTCTGTCATACGAGGTTCGCCTGTTTGATGACATTCGTTTGTCAAACGAGATTCGTCTGATTTGCTAAGTCGTGACTCTCATGTTTCGTAGCAACGCGTCCATTGATTGCCTCATATTCAGCAGTTACCGCATGCAGCAGTTACAACAGCATTAAGGACAATTTAATGCATTGATGTTACAATCTTAATTGTCATTAAGAATTGTAACAGTCATATTAATTGCTAATAACTCTTGAGCTGGCCTTAGAGGCTTATAAATAGCGCCCTTGGGCAGCTCTTGGTTGTGGTTGGAAACTCTCTCGCGAGTGTGGAATACGAACGTCAGTATGGAATACGAACGTCGGAATACCCACGCGAGTTTGGAATACGAACGTCAGATTGACTTGTGCTGCTGCTGTAGAAACTGTGCCCGCAAGAACCCTGAAACCGAAAGGTTTTGAACTGAAAGGTTCTGAGATCGAGGAGATTTTTTACCTTGATCGAAAGGTCTTACAGATCGAGGAGATCTTAACAGTACTGGGTTGGTACACATCAGAGTACTGTACTGCTATTCCTGAAAGCAGTTTGGCCTTGGGATCCTTACACCGGAGGCCAAATATTGCTTTAAGCATAGCGTTTCACAAACGCACAACAGTTAATTGAAAATTTTAAAATAACAGCACATCATCCTTCGTTGTTTAATTTCAAATTTAACCATAATTTCCAGCAATCTTAAAGCAATATTTTAGATCTACTAATGGATCCTGCGAGGACTCTTGGAGTGGACTGTCTCAAGTTAGAAAACTTTGATGGATCTAATTTTAACGCATGACGTCGAAAAGTGATTTTTGGGATGCAACTCCTAAAAATCTACTATGTGGTTTCTGAGAAAAAACCTGACTTTGAAGAAGACTCAGAGTCTGAAGCCTCTTGGGATAAAGATGATTATTTCTGTAGGAGTTATCTCCTTAATTATCTGGCTGATCATCTGACAGATGCTTACACCAATAAGCCCTCTGTAAAGGAAATCTGGAATGCTCTTGAGGAACAATACAAGGATGGAGAGAAGCTTTCCAAGTCTTACCTCATTGACAAGTTTCTGGACTTCAAATTTGAAGATGACACTGAGGTTTTGCCTCAAGTTAGAGAGCTCAAAAAGCTTGTTATGAAGCTGAAAGATGAAAAGATCAGTCTTTGTCAAACCTTTATTTCTGGTGCAATTGTCAACAAGCTTCCTCTATCTTGGATGTCGTTCTCCACGGACATTCGATGAAGGAAAAGACAGGTAACTTTATCTGATTTAAAGAGGTTCATTCAGATCGAGGATGAGATTCAGACTCGCACTAAGAATGAGCTCCTAGCTAAGCAGAAGGCGTCTGCTAACATGGTGGCTAACAGTTCTTCTAAGAAAAAGAAGTCTTTTAACAAAAAGAAGAATCATAATCCGAAGAACCTGAATGTTCAGAAGAAAGATTTTAAGAAGAGCAAAAAATGCTTTAACTGTGGAGGGCAAGGGCATTTTACTAAGGATTGCAAAGCTATCTAGCATGGAGAAGTTAGGATTACTTCCAAAATATAGGGGTTACAAACTTGAGAAGTGTGAAGTTTGCGCACAAGCAAAGCTGATAAGGAAACCATTTCCTAGTGTCACAAGGAGCACCAACCTATTGGATCTGATTCACTCAGATACTTGTGATTTCAAGAGATTTGTCACTCGAGGCGGCATGAAGTACTTCATCACTTTCATTGACGACCACTCTCGATTCTGCCATGTCTGCCTGCTAAAATCTAAAGATGAAGCCTTCAGCAAGTTCGTCGAGTTTCGGACTCGAGTGGAGAAGTAGCTTGGACTTCAGGTGAAAAGACTCAGGAGTGACAGAAGAGGAGAGTACCGATCTAAGGAGTCGGAGGTATATTTCAATGAGCATGGA